GGGCAGGGAGAAAAGTGCAAAAATGAATGGATAGAAACCAAAAATCTCTGTAAATGTTCATTAAAATTAATAAAATAATTTTTTTCAATTTCATAATCATAAAAATGATAGTGCCAGCATTTGGTAAATTATAGAATACCTCTTATGTGTACATATTGCACACTCTTCCTACTTCTTCAGGTTTAATTGCATATAAATGCAGCAATTTATCGGAACTAATATTTGTAGGCTGTGAGGTTTTTCTGTTTTGTTTTGCTTTGTCTTTGCTTTGGGGGGGAGGAATGGTGCCACTCTTTGGAGCAGCCATATTCAACATCTGTGTCATATATTTCTGAGTGATGATCTACATTATTTTTAACTGGTAGTTAAAATACCAAGGTTTCCAAACCTACACTTTTTATAAAGCAGGGGCAGATCAAGGTCAGATTATTACACAATGTCTTCACCCTCAATGCTTTCTGGGAAGAGTATTTTGCATAGAAAAAAAAAAAGAAAGAAAGTGAATGAGGAATATTTTGAGTTGCCCACAGCTTAAACACACAGTATTCAGTGCACTGATATAAGGTAAAAGGTCATCTCAGATGAATATGAACTCCCTTTGATATGAGAGAATTGATTTTACCATATTTTAGCACATAACTTCATTGTTGTTGTTGTTGCTGTTGTGATATACCTTCAAGTCTCCTGTGACCCATAGCAACTCTATGTACAACAGCCCTAAACCCTGCTCTATCCTGTGCCAATCTCATTGTCTCCAACACACCTACCTCCATTACCCCATTCACTGAATCAATCCATCTCATTGAGGGTGTCCCTCTCCTGAGCTCTTCCTGCACCCTCCAAAGCATTACGTTTCTCTCCAAGGACTGATCCTGCCTTGCAACATGTCCAAAGTTTGTCAGATGAATCTTCAGAATCCTTGCCTCCAAGGACCAGCTTGGCTTCACCCTCTCCAGGACAAACTTGTTTGTTCTTCCTATTAGTCCATGGTATATTCAATACTCTTCTCCAGCATCAAAGCTCAAAGGCATCAACTCTCCTTCTATCAGCCCTAGTTATTATCAAGTTTTCTTTTTTTTTCTATATTTTATTAATTTTCATAAACATTTACAGATATTTTGGGTTTCCACTCATTCATTGTTGCACTATTCTCTCTACCCTCCTCCCAGTTTGTTCTTGTCCAAATGCCACAGTGCTTGTCAAAGCCAGTTCTGATTAATCTTCTTTGTCAGTGTGTCCTTTGCCATTCCCTATCACTCCTCCCTGAGAGAGACTTCACCCTGAGTCATAAGGAAAAGGGGATGGCGTATTCTCTTAGCTACTTCCTGCTGAAAAGGGACGCTGTGGGTTTCAGGGTGAAGATCTTCTCTCACTACTCTAAAGGGCCCCTTTGGCAGTAGGAAACACATAGACTATTATGGAGATTGATTTTGGGATTTAGATGCACTCTTATTGATTGTGCTTGGCCGTACATGTTCATATCCTTGAAGATGTATCATGGGGGTGTTGCAACCTAGAAGACACAAATTGGACTAACAAGTTATAAGTACATGAGTCCAAAAATTATGGAAAAGTAAAAGAAAAGATTCTTTCATTGTTTTACAAACCCTCCCCCAGGTCCCCTCCATCATGTAGCCCTCGCTCTAGTCTCCTGTGATGACAGAAATACCTAGTTATATATCTCTTTTAAACAGTTTTCTCCCTCCTCTGTTTCAGTGCAGTATACATTATTGAACCCATCTTACTCAGTCTCTCCCCAACCCCAAGGACAGTCCCATTCTACAACAGTGGCATCATGTAATATTTGTCCTTTTGTCACTGGGATATTTCACTCAGCATAATGTTCTCCAGAGTCAACCATTTTGAATAATATTGCATGAGTTCCTTGTTTTTTAATGCAGCATAGTATTCCATTGTATTATCAAGTTTTCTGAAGCACAGCAAGTAATCGCAAAGACCATGGCCTAGAGGGAGCTCTGGTGGCCTAGTGGCAAGAAACTGCACTGCAATCCCAGAGGTATACAGTTAGAATCCACCAGATGCTCTGTTGGAAAAGGAGAAGCAATCTCCTCCTGTACCAGTCAGATCCGATTTGATGGTACACACACACACACACACACACACAATGATAAAATTTAAAAAAAAACAAAAACAAGCCCAAAAGATGACAGCCTGGATCAGGTGCAAGTTAGTCTTCAGACTGACATCGTTGCTCTTCAGTACTTTGGAGAGGTCTCTGACAGTAGACTTTCCCAATGCAATTCGTCTCTTAATTTCCTGGCTGCTGATACTAAGAGTGTTGATGGTAGAGCCAAACAATCTGAAGCTGTTAACAATCTCAATCTCTTCATCATCCTCATGATGCTGCCAATCAGCCCAATGGTGAGAACCTTAGTTTTCTTGATGTTGAGCTTCAATCCATATTGAAGGTTGCAGTCTTTGTCCCTCTGGAGCAGTGCTTCAAGTCCTCCTCAGTTTCAGCAAGCAGGATTGTGTCATCTGCATAACACAGATTGTTGATGAGTCTTCCCCCAGTCCTGCAGGATGCCACATTTCTCCTCATAGAGCCCAGCCTCCTGGATAATATGTTCTGCATGCAGATTGAAAAGGTATGGAGACAGGACACATCCCTGGTGTACACCCTTCCCAATTTTGAACGATTCAGTGTTTCCTTGCTCTGTTCTGATGACTGCCTCCTGGTCCAAGTATAGGTTTCACATAAGCACAATCAAGAGTTCTGGGATTCCCATTCTTTTCAGAGTCAGACATTGTTTGTTGTGATCCACACAGTCAAATGCCTTAACATAGTCAATGAAACACAAATAGACATTCCTCTGGTGCTTTCTGCTTTCAGCCAAGATCCATCTGATATTATCTATAATATCCCTATTACCACGGCCTCTTCTAAACCAAATTTGCACTTCAGGCAGTTCTCGATTGATGTGCTGTGTGATATTAATGATATTGTTTGGTAATTTCTGCACTATGTTGGGTTATCTTTCTTTGAATGGGAACAAATATAGATCGCTTCCAGTCAGTTAGCCAGATTTCTTGGCACAACTTGGTGAGCACATCCAGGGC